GTCCTTTCTCGGGGGTAAAGCCGGCCGGGGCGTGATGCTGACCACTCACCCGCATCTAGTGCCGAGGTCAAGGAAGAGAGGAGCTATACCTCCTCTCACCCCAAACGCCTACATGGCGTATAGTGGGACAAACTTTTATAAGATCGGGTATAACTAAAGAAAAGGGGAAAACTAGAGGCAACCAGCCATAAAACTGGGATAAAAGATAATTTGTAGAATTGATAGTTTGTCAAAACTGCATTCATTCGTTCGCACAATGTGCATAAAATGAATACATAATGAGGTCCTGTCTGTCCATCCACCTGACACATCTCAAAATTTCAAAAACATATTTTGACCAAATGAGGTATTTCAGGTTATGTTAAGAAACAAATCAATTTTGGTTATTATTGTTCAAATAAAAGCCATGCTGTGTTTTACATGAAACTCAAACTGAAATGTATAGATTTTATTTCATAAATGGCTCAATGCCTAAAGTAATTATTACATAAAAATCAATAATTATATAATATTCTGTTTTTAATTTACAGCACGTTTGTATATGCAATGTAATTAAACTGGCCACTCTATGTTAATTTATTTCTCCTTCTGATATTATAATATTTTCTCAAATACAAAAGTTAAAGAAGAGATAACCTATTCAGAAAATACATTTTACACAGTTAATTTATCATTCCACAAGATTTTAATCCAGATTTATGAACACTAAGCGCAATAAGGTACGTAAAATTTCGAATAAACCATCCGGAGCACACGTGTACTGAGAAATGGAGTACACATTTTAAATCCTCTGAACTGAGAGATGGTAATGGAACAATTTGCAAATCATAGTTGGCAAGGAATTGAAAGACAGAAACCTTGTCTGACTTAACAAGGTTAAGTAAAGTACTGACCAAAATGAGGCATCAACACACGTTTTGCAAAGTTGGAAAGTAAAGTTATTTGAGCAAGATAAATATTTTCTTTTAAGGGTACCACATTTTCTCTAAAAAGACCAGGTTAAGAGATATTTCAACATACATTAGAAATCATAGTATATTTTATTGATAGTTTGTAAACAACGTCACGGCTCTCTGTTTGAAGCTATGTTCTGTCAATAATCAGTTTCCGATTAACAAATTAATCAGTAAAGAAGGAGAAAACAACATACAAAACATATTCTCATGCAAAGCAATAATAATGGTGAGAAGTATATAAACTGGATAGCAACTCGCTCCAGTTTATTTTCTGAATAAAAAGATAAAAGATGGTATGAATAAATAAATAAATAAAATACAATTTTGTCAGCTAGGAACTTTCAAGGGTGTGAAGAATGCATGTGGAAATCCTACGTATTTCACTGCAGTTTACAACTTCCAAGTCTTGTTAAAAAGGTTCACGTAAAACCCAGGGTTCTTCTTCTTCTTCTCCCACAAAGTGATGTTAGTGACATACCAGTAACCTTTTTATCTGTGACACAACGTATACGTCATCTGATATATCAATTAGACAAACCTGATTTGAAAACATCATTTGACTGCTTTAGATTACAAGGGTTTCAATTCATTACTTTTACCTAAAATCCACTTACAGCCCACAACAAATGAAACTTGTTAACTTAAGTGCATGTCTAAAAAGTTTCGGATGCTGATATTGTGAATATGACATTGTCGTACACTGAATGGTTAAACACAACTAAAAACTAAAAGGTTACACTTTCTCCACAGAGAGAGCTATGCGCATGCGTGCACATACAAACACACCTAAGTACTTAATGACACCATAATTTGGTAACAAATTACTGCAAGACTCCACAACAAACAAATAGTAAGAAACTCTTACGTTATTTTCATTCTAACATTACACTCTAATTTCATTTTTGCAAGGCCCGATATATTTGCACTCATATTATAAATGAGCATCTTTGGTAATGTATTCAAGGACAACTGTTCCATTTCTGGGCACCAGAATGGTTTTTGTGTCACTGTTCTGTATGGTAGAGAAATAAAATATGTGAATGCGATTAATGTATGTACAATTATTACCCAAATGCATGCTCCAAAGCAGGGGTTCTTAACCTTTTTCCACCAGGACCCAGTTTGTTAATCAGTTTCGTGACCCATGGTTCAGTTTCAAATTTGATGTATTTTCTTTTCATAACCTCACTCTTGTCTACAAATTACGTATATGTAATTATTATTAAAACATAACTAATGTTACATACTTGTATAAAATAATATTATTAAAATATGAGTAGTAATTAGTTTATTAGTTGGCATTATACAATAGTTTTGCAAAATCACAAATATTAGACGAACAGCACAAAATTAAAACAGCTGTTGGTATATTAATGTGAACCTTGACTTCGGACAAGCCTTGAAAGTTCTTCAAAATCGTAGTAATGTATTTCAAAGGCTGCGTCTTAAGTCACGCTCTGATTGCAGTTTGGTTTTTATAAGGGCAAGTGCTCAAAAACCTGCTTGGCACAAGTAGGTTGTAGAAATGGAAAGTAAAACTTGAAGAGCCTAATTTTACACAGTGGTTTTTACCTTTTTATTCAATTTTGATCCAGAACGCAGTGTCTCGTCGTTTTGGATCTCTAAAAACTGCTCCTGAAGACCAGAAATGCGTAAAATTGAATCGACCAAATCTAAGACACCAATGTCAAATGGGTCATGTTATTTAGGTCACATCGTCCGGGATGTTGCGGTCGAAGTCATTATGTTCCAAGATAACATTTATTACGTCATAAAATTTAACACTTTCGTATCCAGTAGCAAATTCAATATAGTAAAAAAAAAAAGAACAATCTTTTATCTTCCACAATTTCAGATTTCCTTTGAAAGCTATCAGCTTCTCTGTTCGCCCACCCAGTGTCTAATCACGGCCTGACTTGTCTCAGACACAAAGGCTTTGGGCTCATCGCTAATGCCACAACTCTTTGCATGACGTCTCTCAGTGACAGCCACCTGTCCTCAAAAGCATGTAGTCAGAGCCAATATCCAAGCACACCTGGCTAAAAATTGTTGTTGTTGATCGACCTAAATTTTATAGAATTCACAACTCCGATTACCTCTTTCATCACAATATCCAACGCCTCCCACAGCCTTTTATAAACAAGATTCTCCCTTTGGAGGACATAATGACAAATTTTTGCCTGCGGATTCAATTCCTTCACTCCGTTTCAAACGCCTTGGAGCACAAATTTCCCGGTGCACCATCTATACACAAACTAAAGGCACTGATTCCGGTTCAAACCTTTATCACTTAAAAATATATCTTCTCCTGTTCTGGTGGAAGTCATTGGCCATCAGAACAAGAAGCTGATCCCATATCTGTTAACCCTGACTGCGAATTATCACTCAGATCAACTGTTTCATCCATCTGCAGACAAAACTGAACACTAAATACGTGTACGAATCGTGTCACTTGGCAGCGGAATCTGGTTCGTCTTTCTTGGCAGTGTCACGCCCACGGGTCATGCGCACTACGTCTACAGCTGACTATCTTACCACGCTCGATTATTGCATGCGGTTTATTTTACATTGCAAACCTCCAAGCAACTTGATAAGAAGCCACAGTGGCTTGCTTGTTGCACAGAATACAAGCATACCTCGGAGATATTGCGGGTTCGGTTCCAGACCGCAATAAAGCGAGTCACACCATTTTTCTGGTTTCCCAGTGCATATAAAAGTTATGTTTACGCTATACTGTAGTCTATTAAATGTGCAATAGCATTGTCTAAAAATGCGAGAACCACCAAAATGTGACACAGAAACACGAAGTGAGCAGATGCTGTTGGAAAAATGGCGCCGATAGACTTGCTCGACGCAGGGTTGCCACAAACCTTCAATTTGTAAAAAAAAAAAACCCACAATATCTGCATAGCGCAATAAAACGAGGCATGCCTGTATACAAATAAATCTATTAACTCTAGTGTCGAGAGGCTGTCGTTTCGTGTAGGAGGAAATTTCAATTGATTTAAGTTGATCGTGACGACCCATTTTTGGGCCGTGGCCCACATGTTAATAACCAATGATCTAAAGTATTAAGGCCACATAATAGAAAGAATACTATACAAGAAGTCTATTTCAAAAGAGGGGTTGATGAAGTGTTTATCAAACACCCACGCTGGCCTTGTAATTCTGGGGTCTCGGGTTCGATTCCCGGCGGTGCCCGAATTTATAACTTGTGTTGGGCAAGGCCGTGGTCTAGGCAACACGGAGTTTTCCTCCGGGGGCTTCCCCGGTTTCTCCGTGGCATCCCAACAATTACTCCATTCACACACAGAAGAAGGCAATGGCAAACCACTTCTGGATCATCTGCCAAGAAAAATATGGAAGGATCCTGTTCATATGGACATGTCGTCAGACA